TTACCTCAGCATATATTAGTAATAGGGATGACAAACAAACACAGGTAACAATTTAAACTTATATTGGAGTTTTAATACTGGCTGTTGACACTGAGGTTTTTTAGAAAATGTTTGTTAGTAATTTTGTATTATTTTTAAAATTTGTTCTGCGCCATTCTTTTATGTCTTGTGTTTTTTCACACACACAAAGATAACAATTTAAAAGTGATTCTGTCTGTGCAGGCAGGTGTCTCTATGTGTTTGTTTTTTTACAACACAGGGGGCAAACGAGCATGCGGCTCACCTGACGGTAAATGACTACCGCCGCCCATGATCACCCACAACACCAGCGGCATTGCAGCTGTGCTGCCGGACTTTTAAAAAGGAATATACTCATTTCTTGAAGGTTATGATGTCGTATCGGTTCGGAAATACTGCTGCTGGAAGTTGATTCCAAAGAATGGTTGTGCGTGGAAGAAAGTGCCTTGAGAAACGCACGGTGTACATTTACTTCCTTTATTTGTTGTTTTTGAAAATTAACAATTACAACGTTATCATCACACATCGGTAAGCTGAAGTTGTGAACGCTTTTAACTATAACAAAATTTATACTAGGCAATACATTTATACATACAGTACGACCCAGTATAATTGACGGAAACAAAGGTGAACGCCCAGTTGCAATGTTACTGAATAATACATACGCGGAGGCCTCGCTTGCCACTACTCCCTGGGGACCAACACAACTGTTTCATTTAGTTTAACTTAGTTCCTTGTTAGAACGCCATGAAATAAAGTTAAATTTAATTAACCACCAATGGTCGACATAATTTTAATCTTTCTTTGTAATATAACTTAACGATAAGTAAGAGAAAATTTTTTATGTGTTTAAAAAAAAAAACCGAATTCAATTGTGGCAGAACCAGTTATTTTAATTTAACCCTTCTTCACATAATGGTGGAAATTTCCATCATAACATTGAATGCCCAAAAATTATATAAAAGACCAAGTTCACTTTAAGTTGATCGTGTCTGGATACCTTTATATATTCTTACCTACCTAACTTATATATATATATATATATATATATATATATTCTTTATTGCACTAAAACACACAGTAACAACAATAAGTTAATAACAACGTTAGTAAAGGTATCCATGCAAAAAAAAACAAAACATAGCTATCAAATTTATTTTTTAACCTATTTTCCTTTAGTTTTGAACATAAATTATATCACCTTGATTTATTTCACTAATAAAAAAAATCATGCAAAGAAGGGTTATTACCTACCAAACTGTTTTTTAATAAAATTTCTTTGGGATTTATCTGTATTCATTAATGTATTTAGAAGAGGGAGACTTTGTACAAAAGTCGATTGCTTGGGTACCTCTGTCCCATTCGTGTTTCTACCGTGAAGCAGTTGTGTTGGCATGGCTGTGTTTCGGTTTGAAGGGTGGGATATGGCGTGAATTTACTGGGTACAGAGGAATAACACCTGTATCCTCAGGAATGGCAACGCATGGGGGGTATCATGGGCGAAACAGTATACTCTGTTATGTCCATGGTACTGCTCATGTCTACAGGCGACGGTTATCACTTTTCATCAGGTGGGCGTCAGCTTGTTTGCTATTCTGAGTTGTATAAATAAAAGATAAATAAATAAAAAAGGCAAGTATTGGGTAGATGGCGGGTGTAAATATCGTTATTGTGACGTCAGTACCATAGACAAGCCATGCCACCAAAGACGTACGTAATAAGTCTAAGAAATGGATTACTCGCGTGACCTTGAGTCCTTGACATTAATATATTATTGGTAGGTATTTTTCGTAACGGCATTGAAGTTATTAGATAGTCTATCAAAAATACATACATACATACATATCTGTCACTCCCGTCTCCCATTAGGGTAGGCAGAAACAATGGAACGCCAAATGCTTTGATTCAAACAAACCTCTTTCGCTTCCTCCACATTCATCAATCTTGTCATACACGCTCGCCGGTTACGGGTACTTTTAATTTGGCCCGTTCTTCAGCACGTCGCCTATTTGGTCGACATACGTCCGTCTAGGGCGGCCCCTACCGACATCTCCATTCATTCTTGCTCGATAAATCTCTTTCGTAATTCTTCTTTCATCCATCCTCTACAAATGACCTATCTATCAAAAATTTTACTCAAAAATTTACAACAAACCATCAGATAACTTAAAACAATTACCTATAACAGGCTTCGAATCCAAATTACGCGGTATTTTATTTTAACAAATAAATGTCATTATGACTTGAACACTATCTTGACAGATCCATTATTTTAAGATCACAATTGTGAGATTAAAATAAAGAGATTTTATCCGTTTTTTTAGTAATAAAATCTTTATTGTAAGGGCTAATATAAACTAATTGCATAATTTGCTAGTATATATATATATATATATATATATATATATATATATATATATATATATACTAGCTGGCTCAGCAAACGTTGTTTTACCATATACATTATTTTTAGAACTATACATGAAAATTTATCCTACTACAATTATTATATTCGATTGCCATCTTGCAACCTTATTGCAGCATATAAAAATCGCGATTAAAAAACAGGAGTTGATCGTAAAACGGTAAAAATTTGAGGTTGTATGTATTTTTCAATGCTAAATCATAATAAAATAAAAATGGAAAAATTTGTCAAAAAAATATTTTTTTTTGGCGATGGTCACCCTTATCATTGAGGGGTATGAAAAATAGATGTTGGCCGATTCTCAGACCTACCCGATATGCACACAAAATTTCATAAAAATCGGTAATGCCGTTTCGGAGGAGTTTGGTAACAAACACCGTGACACGAGAATTTTATATATAAGATTTAATGATAAAAAATTTCTTTGAGATCACTGCCGGCTGGTAGTGTGCCTAGGATACTTGGTGCATTTCCACGCTGAATAGCAATGGCAATGCGTTGACCAAAGTAGATTTTATTCTTATTTTTGACATTATTGACATATTTATTATTATTTATTGACGCATTGGAATGAGTAGCAGCAACTATAAAAAGTAGACGGGATGTTAGGAGTATGAGTTGTAGATATACGACCTAATTATTTCGTGTCTATCGATGACAATGTTCGTTGCTAAGCATCTTGTTGATTGTAACATTTCTATTCTGCTTATTATACGTAGTTAGTTAGTTAGTAGTATTAGTTGTTCATGCACTGAATTTTCATTTAATGTTAGACATAGACACCTATATAAATATACATTGTAAATAAACTGGCTTTAAAAAAAAAAGTAATTCAATTGAGTTTCTTGCCAGTTCTTCTCAATTGGATCTATATACCGAACTGGACGGTAGGGAAAAAAATAAAATTATAATGTAAAAATTTGACGTTCATAAGCGGCTAAAATGTCCTACATGAATAAATGATTTTTGAATTTGAATTTGAATTTGAATTTGTATTTTAATATTCAATATCGCTTTCTGTTCTCCACTTTAATAGATATATTAGACATATTAATATAATGCAAATAATTTAATTTATTAATATAAGTGTCTGTTATTAAAATAAAAATTTATAAGCGGAATCACAGAGGACGCTACGTGCACATTGGATATTCGAACTCGAGTAAAAATCGCAAAACAGGCCTGTGATAAAAAAAAAACATATTTACCTCAAAAACATCAAAAATAATCCGTAAGAAATTTATAAAAAATTACATTTGGAGCATAGAGTTTTTTTATGGGTGAAAATGGTATGGTAACCCCGCCTGCGCTAACGGAATACGCTGGCGGAGCACCAGTGAAGGGTGATCGATGAGAATGAAAACAGGCCAGTTAGCCCATCGTGATGAATTCATCAGGAATTAACCATGATAGTTTCCAGGGGGAACCGCGAGGAAGTCGACCTGGTTAGGTATATTGCTTGCAATGGGATTTTTAGTCTCCATTACTAACAATCCCTTTCCCCCCGGAGCATAGCATGATATGGGTGTGAAACATGGAAACAAAAAAAAATAGAAATGCTTGAGTCATTTTAGATGTGGACATTGAGGAGAATAGAAAGGATAAGCCGGACAGGGGGCAAACGAGCATGCGGCTAACCTGATGGTAAGTGAATATCGTCGCCCATGATCACCTGCAACACCAGAGGCATTGCAGGTGTGCTGCCGGCCTTTTAAAAAGGAATATGCTTTTTTCTTGAAGGTTATGATGTCCTATAAGTTCGGAAATACTACTGCTCGAAGTTGAGTCCCAAGAGTGGTTGTACGTGGAAGAAAATGCCTTGTAAAACGCACGGTGGAAGACCGCCACTCGTCCAGATGGTTGGGATGAAACTTTAGTTTGTGGCGGGTTGTACGGTGGTGAAAATCAGCAGCAGGTATCAATCAGAACAATTCCTCAGAGCACTCCCCATGATAAATTCAGTAGAAGATGCACAGAGATGCAACATGTGCTTTGACATTCTCACCTATCATCCCTCACTGATGCCTAGCATATACCGATAGCGCAGGTGGGGTTTTTTTTAATGGATGATAATGGAATGGTAACCCCACCCGCGCTATCGGTATACACCGTTGGGGCACCAGTGAAGTATGATAGGTGAGGATGAAGCAGGTCAGTTAGCCCATCGTGACGAATTCAAAAAGAATTGTTCACGATGGTTTCCAGGGGGAACCACGTGGAGGTCGACCTAATAAGGCATATTGCTAGCAATGAGGCTGTCAAACTCCATTGCTAACAATCCCTTTCCCCCCGCGCAGGTGGGGTTACCATGTCACTACCCATATAAAAATATATTATAAAAGCAAAAGTGAGACAAACTTCAAAGATATTTTGTACTTTAAATTAAAAGTCTAACATCAGTTTATTTTTCAATTTTTGGTTTTTGTTTCATTTTTTTTAAGTCGTTATAATTTTTTTATTATCATATTTTTTTGCACACATAAAGACATATTTTTTCGAATGTTTCACTACAACTTAATTTCAACAATATACTTATTTAAAATATACATTAACTTACCTTTGTCTTCTATAAAAAAAAATCTCCCTCTAAAATTCACTTTTAAAATAACACATTCAAAAAAAGAACACCTGCAATCAAACCGTTCATTTTAAACTACGTTCCTAAATTACGCAGAAAACAATCTTGGGATAAATACAAATTCAAAAGGTTCCTAAACTACTTCAAAGCAAGTCTTGTGATAAATATTATGCAAATTCGAAAATATTAAAAAGTACGTATTCAGCGTGCAACTTTATCGTAGCTGACATACAACCATTTCGTCCCGACGTCGAACTAATACTAGTTGGCTGCGCTGACTAGTGGCGCCGCTTCGAAAGAGTTTATGTACAGCAAACTTCTACGTAGCGACCGCAGTTTTATAAATAGTAATATTCGTAAATAATTCGTTTACCAGAGGGAGACTTTGTACAAAAGTCGATTGCTTGGGTACCTCTGTCCCATTCGTGTTTCAACTGTGAAGCAGTTATGTTTGCATGGCTGTGTTTCGGTTCGAAGGGTGGGATATGGCGTGAGTTTACTGGGTACTGAGGAATAACACCTGAGTCCTCAGGAATGGCAACGCATAGGGGGTATCATGGGCGAAACAGTATACTCTGTTATGTCCATGGTACTGCTCATGTCTATAGGCGACGGTTACCACTTTCCATAAGGTGGGCCGTCAGCTTGTTTGCCATTCTAAGTTGTATAAACAAAAAAATAGCGCTTACAGTCTATGTTGTATAAACGTAACACACACTGAGAGAAGATGGACAAAAGTTTACCAAATTTATAATTTTCTTTAAACCTGATTTATCGGTGTGAGCAATATTCCAATTTAATTTGCCGATTCAGGATTTTCAAAACAATTGGTGTATTGGTTGTTAACAAAATACCGTTATACTTACAGCGTGTGTTATAAAAATATTTTGTACAAAAATGACCTCGGCTCAACCACCTTAAGGGTTTTCTCACGCGTTGGGAGAAAGAGACTGTTACTAATAGACTCTAACAGCCCTCCTCTATTTTAGTTCTAATCAGCTCCTATCAGGTCGCTCTCCACGGGGTTCCTTCTGGAAAACATTTGGGTTAATTCTTGTAGAATTTATAACGGTGGGTTAACTGACCTGCCTTTTCATCCTCACCTATCATCCCTCACTGGTGCCTCGCCAACGTATACCATTAGCGTAGGCATGGTTGCCATTCCACTGTTTCCTTTATCTGTCCCATGTAGTTATTCCTCGGTCTTCCCCTTCCTCTTTTGCCCTTCCTCTTTTATATTCACAAAAGATGAGTCACTTTCAATAAATTATATTTCAACAAAAATACAGACCGCCGGTAAGTCCTAGCTCCCGGTATTTGGTAAATTTACGTTATCAATTCATTTGAAGAACTCCAATGAAACTGGTTTTAAATTGTGTGTTGCCAGCTTCAAATTTTTGCACTGTTGTCGGTAAATTAAGAACTATTAAAAGCAGTGTGACGCTTGGATTTTTTTTAATGGATGATAATGGAATGGTATCCCCGCCCGCGCTATCGGTATACACCGGCGGGGCACCAGTGAAGGATGATAGGTGAGGATGAAGCAGGTCAGTTAGCCCATCGTGACGAATTTAACAAGAATTGTTCACGATGGTTTCCAGGGGGAACCACGTGGAGGTCGACCTAATAAGGCATATTGCTAGCAATGGGGCTGTCAAATTCCATTACTAACAATCCTTTTCCCCCCATGGCGCTTGGATTAAACATTTTTTTCGTAACTAATATTTTACTCATTACTTCATTATCGTCATCATGACCTCATCCATTATCTGTGTGACATAGGTCTCCCTCATAGACTGCCATAAGGAAATGTCTTGAACCACCTGCATCCATTGACTTCTTACACATTATTTTAGAAGTAAAAATGCTAATGACTATTTGTAGACGATGTATCAAGGTAAAATATAGACCAGATTTCAAGTTAAACCTTATTTTTTTTATGCAACTTAGAATGGCAAACAAGCTGACGGCCCACCTGATGGAAAGTGGTAACCGTCGCCTATAGACATGAGCAGTACCATGGACATAACAGAGTATACTGTTTCGCCCATGATACCGCCCCATGCGTTGCCATTCCTGAGGACTCAGGTGTTATTCCTCTGTACTCAGTAAATTCACGCTATATCCCACCCTTCAAACCGAAACACAGCCATGCAAACACAACTGCTTCACGGTTGAAACACGAATGGGACAGAGGTACCCAAGCAAACAACTTTTGTACAAAGTCTTCCTCTGAACAGCAGAAACACGAATGAGACATAAGTACCCATGCAGACGACTTTTATACATAGTTTGTCTCTGATCATGAGCATCACAGTGTATTTTGTAATGTTCACGATGCTATTTATGTCCATATAGAACAGTTACTACTTCCAATGTGGTAAATGTCGTCTATGGTCGGCCGTCATCTTGTTTGACAGTCTAAGTTGTATAAAAAAAAATATATTATATCAGCCGTTAACTGATCACTATTGAACGTAGGCCTCCCGTATAAGGGGGGGTATTACTAGTAGTTGCCACGCTTGGCAGGCAGTTTGGCAACCGCAGTTAGACTTTAGTGATGTTTTAAGAGGGGCGCTGTTACCCATCTCTCGACTATAAAGTTCCCTTAGTCACCTTCTACGACACTCACAGGAAAGGGGTGACCTATTCTATGCTGGGACCACACAGCAATATTGTTACGCCACTGAAAATTTTAAGACAGACGCTGCTGCCCATTACTCGACCATTAATTTTCTCTAGTCGCCTCTTACAAATTAAATTAAAAAAAAACGACAATTGAATAGACCTATTCACCCCTTAAAAATTTATATTTAGGAAGACCCGAGTCATTGTACATTATATAAATATATGGAAAAACACATTAGATATCAGCCACAAAGTACATTCTAATTGGAAACCGGTTATTTAAAACGGCAATGACGTATGCTATGAGGAAAATGCACAGACGTAGTGGTAACTCAGAGATTTGCGAGACGTCTTAGTAGTGTACGTAAACAGTTAGGGAACTCGCGATGGACGCATTCGTAATAAATTTTAAATTAAATTAAAAATAATAATAGTCAAGAATTTATAGGTGAAACTATGTGATAAGTGTTTTAAATATTGTTTTAATTAATAATACAATTTCAATTGTTTTTCTAATTATGTGCGTTTAAATGTTTGTTTTTAAAAGTGATTCAATTGACCTCGCCTTGTATGAACTTAATGTGGGTTTGCGATTGATAATGTTTTTGCTTTTGTTTCTTTTTATTTATGGTAAGTTTTTTTTTATATATATTTTTTTTTTATCATAGACAGATTTAGTGATGTTATCTTACACTCGTATAATTAGGATTCATTGTACTGTTTGTATAAAAAAACGTAATTTAAAAATAAAATATTAATTAATTTCTTTGAGTGTGTAATAAATATTACAATGTAGGTATATCATATTTTGGATAGGTATTCATTAATGAGGTTCCGGGATCAGAGACCTTATTGTTATTAAAGACACTGCATTGATAACGTTAGTATTAGTAAGCATATGCACTATTATCTATAACTATCTATTTATTTATATATTTTACCCTTTATTGTATCAGTTAAAATTAAAATAACAGATACAGTAAAAAGATAAAGTTCTTTAAGAGATAAACAGAAAAAACATACATACATACATTTCATCCTGTTTAATTCCTGGTGAATTCATCATGATAGGCCCACTGACTTGACTCCATCCTCATCTAACATCCCTTACTGCAGTGGTATCAGTGAGTCTTGGTAGACTAGTTGCCATTCTATTATCGTTAACAAAAAACCAAGAAAGTAAAACTTACGTGAAGTGAAGAGACTTTACTGGACTCTACATACATTCGAAAAATCCCACAGGTATACTATAAATTACGTCAAATGTTTTACGCATAGTAGCAAGAATTGTTCACACGTGTATTTCCGTGTAATTTGATATTATAAAAGTACATAACTAATGCTAAATGCATTAGTTACGTACTTTTTTTTTAATGGATGGTAATGGAAAGATCACTCAGCCTACGCTATCAGTATATACTGGCGGGGCACCAGTGAGGGATGACAGGTGAGGATGAAAGCAGGTCAGTTGGCCCATCGTGATGAATTCGTCAAAATTTAACTACATGGTTTCCAGGGGGAACCGCTTGGAGGTCGACCTGCTAGGTTATATTACTAGTAATGTGTCTGTCGGATCTCACTACTAACGATCCCTCACAAAACTGCTCTCACATATTTAATTGTACCTCAAACTAACTTTTTACTACCTTTTGTGAGGAGAAAAATAAACCATTCATTCATAAATTCAATTAATATTTAACCGTAAAAAAAAAACAATTAAAAATGCATGAACAGAGTGATAGTCGAAGATTGACGGCTAATATGGAAGGTTTTTTTTTTTAATGGGTGATAATGGTATGGTAACCCTGCCTGCGCTACCGGTATACACTGGCGGGGCACCAGTGATAGATGACTGATGAGGATGAAAGCAGGTCAGTTAGCCCATCCTGACGAATTCAACTAGAATTAGCCACGATGGTTTCCAGGGGGGACCACCTGGAGATCGACCTGACAGGGTATATTGCTAGCAATGGGACTGTTTGACCCCATTACTAACAATCCCTTTTCCCCCTAATATGGAAGGTTATGTCTGGCCGTATGGTCCCGGCATAGAATAGGCCACTCCTTTCCCGTGGGTGTCGTAAGAGGCGACTAAGGAGAGCGTATTTGATTTATTACTGAAAAAGGTAAATGAATCGATTTTTTCTTGATAACCACGTAACCACAACACGAATTTACGTCCGGTAAATCCCCATTAAAAGTAGGTATGTTAAATAACAGTCATTGAAACTGATGATGTGATAACAATAAACAGTAATTGATGACTGAGAACCGATTTATTTCTGGTTTATTTATTTATTCTTCACTAGTAACCCGCCCCGGTTTCGCTCGGGTGCACATTACATCACATCACATTAGATACATTTAATTTTATCAGAGGAATAACACCTGAGTTCTCAGGAATGACAACGCATGGGGATCATGGGCGAAACAGTATACTCTGTTATGTCCATGGTACTGCTCATGTCTATAGGCGACGGTTACCACTCTCCATCAGGTGGGCCGTCAGCTTGTTTGCTATTCTAAGTTGTATAAAAAAAAAAACTATATTATGCATGTATTGTACATATAAACCTTCCTCTTGAATCACTCTATCTATTAAAAAAACCGCGTCTAAATCCGTTGTGTAGTTTTAAATATCTAAGCATACATAGGGAAAGACAGACGGGAAGCGACTTAGTTTTTTGCTATGTAGTATAACACTGCCTGAAACTGGATAAAGCTCAAGTCAGGCCGCATATGGAATACTGTTCTCACCTATGGGCAGGAGCGCCACAGTACCAACTCCTTCCGTTAGACCGCATTCAAAGTCGGGCAGCTCGAAAAGAAGGGTTAAGGTTTTGTGTAATTTTGTCGAAATATGACGATGTTTGTCGATGTTGTCGGAAAAAAACAAACCGTGTGGGAACTTTCATACTCGTCGAAGACGCTGCCTAATTCATTTGAGATATAAGAAAATAATGTACGGCGGGATTGTTTCTTTTATAGGTCTACAAAAAAGTTCACGATGGCATTATGTCTATATTTTAAGAATAGCTTAATATACCCATCTAATTTATACTCCACGCAATGAGCTGATGCAAAAAATGTAAGCCATATGTGCTTTGCTTATAGCTATTCTATAAAAAAAATCATCCAAACTTGATAAATATATCGCCGAAAAATCAAAGGGATTTTTTTAAATATCTAGGAATATTACGACATCACGGAAAAATATATATTTGAATATTTATTAATTAAAATATATGAAATAATATGTTCAGTAATATATTAATTTGTTTTGAGTTTGTAAAACTCTAATCCCACTAAAGCGTAAAAATGCAAAAAACTTCACAAACCTCTTTTTGGGTCGACTTATTTGTTCAGGGTATTTTGTAAGACCTAAAACAAAATACTGGTTTTATACAAACTTGTCAACAGATGCCATTAACTTTTATAATTATAAGGTATTTCTTTTTTTATGTGTAAATGGCTTTATCCAATAAATCTGAGCTCAAATTGCCAGTATATTTACAGTTTCATTTTACGCAGTATTTTTAATCAAATATTTTTATTGAAATTTCGAGAATAATTGTTTGGGAATAAGACGTATGAATGAAATATCAGTGTATAAGTAGTTTTTTTTTTAATCATTAGCTTTATATGCAATATTACACTAAGTAATTTATTTTTACATTTACAATTAGATTTACAAAAATTTTCATACCTAGATTAGCTTACCTTTAAAAATTATAAGACAATATATTAGAAAGGCACTGGCAATAAATAAATATGAGAATGGATGCCGTTAAGTTTTATTTATAATTTATAATAATATCTGTTTTTATTTTATTCCTAAATAGCTTTAAACAATCATTCAAAGCTCAAACCTCCAGTATTTTAAATATATCTTTTTTTTTTTATTTATACTGAACAAAATACAAAACTTCTTAATCTATTATGAAATGTTACTGATAGATAATGAACTTTCTTTAAATCTTTTATAAAGTAATGACTACGTTATTACTTAATCTATGATCTCTGCCAAAATATAGATATAGAATGCTAATATTCTGTCTATGACATTAATAAATTTAATTATTTCTTTTTTAAATTTGAAATATCGAATAAGAATATTTTTGATTTTGAATCTTTAAGAACTTTCATGTTATTATATTATATTGCTATTATTGACACTCGTAATATTATTTCATTAAGGAGCATTTGGCGTTTTATTATTTCTGTTCACTCGGATGGGAGATATGTACGTATGTATTTTACATTAATTATATTAAAAACATGTATTTTTTTGCAACAAAATATCCCAATAATTTTAATACATTATTTAATATTTTATTGTACAAAATAACAACACAAATCTTGACAAAATTTGTATTAATCTATATTTTATAATTGATTGTCCAATTTGTTTCAGTCATATCACCGATTACCTCATCAGTTGTGGCTGACCGGGACAATAAATGCAGGTAATGTAGACAATACTTAGATTATATAAATAGAGCGTCGAACCTCAAAAACGGCCCAATTTTTTGTCAGCTAATTGTCAGATTTATTTATAATTGAGTACCTCCTTTTTTTGAAGTCGGCTAAAAACAAGCACGACACGAATCTATCAATCAACAAACTTCTAATTTCAATAAATATCATGTAAAAGTAAGAATTGACTTTTCACAGCGGGAACGAGTTTACGTGTAGAGATGGCGCCTGCATCGACCTTAGCAGCTTGTGCGACGGGAGACAGAACTGTGATGATGGCAGCGATGAGGCAGTCTGCGATGGCAGGACGTAAGTAACTTTCCGAGTCTGTCATTGATAGCGTACATGGGCGGCACAGGGATTTTCCCGTTATAATTTTTTTTTATACAACTTAGAATGGCAAACAAGCTGACGGTCCACCTGATGGAGAGTGGTAACCGTCGCCTATAGACATGAGCAGTGCCATGGACATAACAGAGTGTACTGTTTCGCCCATGATACCCTCCATGCGTTGCCATTCCTGAGGACTCAGGTGTTATTCCTTTGTACCCAGTAAATTCACGCCATATCCCACCCTTCAAACCGAAACACAGCCATGCGAACACAACTGCTTCACGGTTGAAACACGAATGAGACAGAGGTACCCAAGCAATTTTGTTATATGTAATATGTAATTTATATTATTTTTCTTAAGAGCAATTGTATTTAACTAATGATATTATTTAAATGAATGGTTTGTTTAGTGTATGTGTAAATAAATAAATAAATAACGTAAAGATTTTTTTTTGATGGGTGAAAATGGTATGGTAACCCCGCCTGCGCTAACGGGATACGCTGGCGGAGCACCAGTGAAGGGTGATAGATGAGAATGAAAACAGGCCAGTTAGCCCATCATGATGAATTCATCAGGAAATAACCATGATAGTTTCCAGAAAGAACCGCGAGGAGGTCTACCTGATTGGGTATATTGCTAGCAATTGGATTCTCAGTCTCCATTACTAACAATCCCTTTCCCCGCAGTAACGTAAAGATTACCGTATGGTCACAGCACTGGATGGGCCACCCCTTATTTTCCCGTGAGCGTCGTAAGAGGCGACTAAAGGAACTTAATAGTCGAGGCATAGGTAACAATGTCTCTCTTAAAACATCAAAAAGCGGTTACCAACGCGTCTGTTAAGCGTGGCAACTGCTTACTTTGTCGTCACATAAACAAAAATGGTGTTACCGTCGATTTTACTTGTTTACGTAATTAAAAATTGTGTCCCACAGAATAATCAACTTTAATTGTGACAAAAACTAGTTATTTTAACCGAAAAACTAAACTAAAATATTATTAATTCTTTAGTTTAGTTTTTAATTAAACTAAAATATATCAATTCTTTTTACCCGAATGTTGTCTGGAGGAGATTGCTTAGCAATAAGACGGCCTTTGGTACTACACTATATTTATCTAAAATTCTGCAACAAATCCTGTAATGTTGATGCAATAAAGTGTTAATAAACGTTAATATTTTTTTATACAATTTAGAATGGCAAACAAACTGACGGCCCACCTGATGGAAAGTGGTAACCGTCGCCTATAGACATGAGCAGTACCGTGGACATAACAGAGTATACTGTCTCGCTCCATGATACACCCCCCCGCCAAAAAGTTTGGGGGGAAAGGAATTGTTAGTAATGGGGTCTAATAGCCCCATTACTGGCAATATACCCTCTCAGGTTGACTTCCTTTCGGTTCCCCCTGGAAACCATCATGTTTAATTCTTGTCAAATTCATCATGGTGGGCCAACTGACCTGCATTCATTCTCACCTATCATCTTCCACTGGTGCCTCGTCGGTGTATACCAATAGCGCGGGTGGGGAAAATATCCATTTTCACCCATTAAAAAAAAAAAACCCCGCCAACCTAATAATTTTTCAATGATCCATACAAGACCTTATAAAATGCACTGTGTTCAATTTAAAGTCACTAATATGAACTTTTATATTTTACAGAAGTGACCTGAACTTCGCCTGGAATACTGTTTCGAGCAGAGCGAGGAGACAAGCGACTTGTCAGTACGTATTCATACTTTACTATTCTGTAATCGTGATATAATATTTATGAACAATAAATTAATTTGCATCTCTATGCATTTCTTATCGAATATACCATGGGGGGTGCTCTGAGGAATTGTTCGGATTGATACCTGCTGCTGATTTTCACCACCGTACATCACGCCACCAACTAAAGTTCCATCCCAACCATCTGGATGAGTGGCGGTCTTCCACCGTGCGTTTTTCAAGCCACTTTCTCCCACGCACAACCACTTTTTGGAATAAACTTCCAGCAGCAGTATTTCCGAACCGATACAACATCATAACCGTCAAGAAAAGAGCGTATTCCTTTTTAAAAGGCCGGCAGCACATTTGCAATGCCGTTAGTGTTGCAGGTGATTGTGGGCGGCAGTGATCACTTACCATCAAATGAGCCGCATGCCTGTTTGCCCCTTGTGTTATAAAAAAAAAGTTGAACTCATAGCGATTGCATTTTATCTGTCCCATCTAGTTATTCCTTGGCCTTCCTCTTCCTCTTTTGCCCTCTATTTTTCCTTCTACTATGCTCTTTAAAAAACCATCATGTCATATAAGATGACCCAGCATTTTGCCTCTTCTATTCTCTATTGTTTTAATTCACTGGAGTCTTATTTGTACCTAAAATAAATCTACAAAAACATACTTGTAAGAGACAGGAATGTAATTAAAATAGTGAATAGTTAATAGTGAATAGTTAAAAGTGAAAATAAAAAGAATAATGTGAAATTTACAGAAAGAATCAGTGGCAATGTCGCGACGGTACATGCATCGGCTTCGACGGCAAGTGTGACGGCGTCGTCGACTGTCCGGACGGCAGCGACGAGACGCATCCGCTCTGTAGAAGCAGCCGGTTAGTACTGCTCAACACATGTTTAATGTAACTAATGACGGCGTCATGTCGTCGTACACTGCGACGGAAAGTGTGACCTGGCTGAAGAACTTGCGGGAATGGTTTTTTTTAATGGATGATAAGTGAATGGTAACCCCGCCTGGGCTATCGGTATATGCTGGCGGGGCACCAGTGCGGGGTGATAGGTGATGATGAAAGCAAGTTAGTTAACCCATCATGACTGATGAATTTCACCAAAATTAACCACAATAGTTTCCAGGGGAATCGCGTGGACGTCGACCTATTAGGAGGGCGTATTGGGAAATTAAACCCCCTTAATAAAAATTATTTTTCCCCATGCGAGAATGGTAATGGGAATGGAAGAGGTAGTTTCACAAATTTGATTTGCCCTTATGTTGTCCAATCTCCAATAAGAGTGAAACTTGAAGAAGGAGAACTGTATGTACTAGATTCTATTAAGCACCTAGCCAAGACACTTATTGGAGACAAACTTGAAACCCTGGACTTATCTCCTGGAAATTACCTGAACATGCTCAGAAACCTAAAGTCTGTTTCTATCTTCCAGATGTCAGAGCAACTGGTTCAGGTGTACGTATGGGGCATGCGTTGACGGAAGCGCCCCATGCAACGGGATCAAGGAGTGCGCGGACAACTCAGACGAGCTTCTACCGCGCTGCAGGAATAACACAGACGTTGTAGCGTGAGTATTTCTTATCTATTTTACGAAGTCATTTTCATCATCATCTCAGCCATTGTCCGTCCACTGCTGAACATAGGCCTCCCCCATAGATTGCCATAAGGAACGATCCTGAGCCATCTGCAACGACTCCCTACAATGCATTTGGGGTCACTCCATCTAGTGGGAGGATCGTCTTACACTACATTAGCCCGTACAGGATCACCATTCAAAAACCTTTCTTCGGGTATTGATTCTTCGAGTTATGTGACCATATTTTACGTAGCTTAATCTCTCTGATAGAAAGCGGTCTAAATGCTTCCCCAAATGCTTGTTTCAATAGCTTAGCCTTTGTACCTTGATGATTCAATTCCACCAATCATTTATTGCTATTACATGTTGTAACAATATAGGTCTTAAGTTATTAAAAGTATAGAATCAACATGAACTCTGGAAGGGCGTAGCAATCACATTTATAAATATTTCATAAAGTACATAACTAAATTTTTATATTATATATATATATATATATATATATATATATATATATATATATATGTATCGTCGATTAACATAAAATAAAAAAAAAACATTAATACATTGAAACAAATAGGTACAAAATACAATTAAATTGTCTCATTGAAAAATTTCTTTAGTGTATAATAACTTTTTGTAATTAAATATTCCTTATAATATGAAGATCTTGAATCACAGTATCCATTCATTTGATTGCCTTAACTAACTGTCCAAACCAGGATACAGTTTATAATGGAACTGCTTGGACTAGACTGAAGATGCAGGGCCAATGCTCCATCTCCACGTGGCCCCCTGCAAACCATCGTTTTGAATTTCTAGTGAATTCGACATGATGACCTAACTGATCTTAGATCCCATCTTTTTATCCTTAACTAGTGCTTCGCTGTTACATACTGTCGGCATAAAAGGGTGCAAAATGCCACCTTATACATATATTTCTTTATTGCACATGTGAATTACATAGATAATACATTCATAAATATTGTAAGCAAAGGTGGACTTATCTCTGACAGAGATCTTTACCAGTCAATCGAATACAGTGAGAAAACTGGTATATACCAATATATTAGCAATACCAAGAGCGCCCAGTAACTACGTACGAGCACGTCGACGGCACTTATTCGATGTTCCATTACGAAGAACAGAGTTCGCTAAGCAGGCTCTCCTATCTCTTGCATTGAAACTACTCAATTATATTTTGAGGCCAGTATCCGCAATTGGGTGTGTTTGCCTCCAACTTGCTGGAGTTTCGTCGGGTGACCACAGAGTATTTGTGTTCACACGTTTTTTGTTCGAGTTAAATCTTTTTATATTATTATTTTTGTTATTTTTATGTAATATTCCTGTTTTATATGTTATTGTACTCGTGCTTTCCTGGGTGAGCGTATTGGAAGACTGTAAGGCTCACCCAGTGGATGTAATAAATAAATAAATATTGTATGACACTTATTTGTATTATGTCCCATTCCAGAGGACAATTCAAGTGTGAGAATGGAGAGATGATCTCGTCAGCGAGCTTGTGTGATGGAGTGACAGACTGCAGCGACGGATCGGACGAGACCGTCCGCGCGTGCGCCGGGAACACATGCTACTCGTATCTGTTCCAGTGCGCGTACGGCGCATGCGTCGACCAGGGCTCCGATTGCAACGGCGTAAGTCTTTCTTACAGTAAATTATTGTATCTGCAATAAAGAATTTTCCTATACAGTCAAGTTTATCAGGTCCCAAAGAGGGTTGACGTCAGGCAGGCGGCCGGTCGTAAAACTATAAACCAAATCTTTTTGTAATATGGATAAAACCATATTACGCCGACCCCATATAATAATTGGGATAAGGGTAGGAAGATGATAGGTCAGGTTTACCAGGAGTTTCATTCAACATTGAACCTTAATGCAAGTCCTCGATATAAATTTACAAAAAAATCTTTACTACCCACAAAAAAAAATATCGAAATAGTTGAATGAACTTTAAGAAAGGAACTATCCTTCACAAGTGGGTAAGTGGAAGCAGTAATAAAAAGAATAAAGTAACACTTTCATATTTAAAAAAATTAAGTATATGTAAAATTTGAAAACTCAATAATTTAATTAAGTTAAAATTTAATCTAAATACTTAGTAACTATAATAATAAATTGTATTATTATTATTATGTAGCTTATGTTACATCTTCAGGCTATGTAAAATATTGATCTACTAATTATGTAACATTGTTTTTTTTTATACAACTTAGAACGGCAAACAAGCTGACGGCCCACCTGATGGAAAGTAGTAACTACTAGTATCGCCTATATACATGAGCAGTACCATGGACATAACAGAGTATACTGTTTCGCCCATGATACACTCTGAGGAATTGTTCGGATTGATACCTGCTGCTGATTTTCACCACCGTACAACCCGCCACAAACTAAAGTTTCATCCCAATCATCTGGACGAGTGGCGGTCTTCCACCGTGCGTTTTTCAAGGCACTTTCTTCCACGCACAACCATTCTTTGGAATCAACTTTCAGCAGCAGTATTTCCGAACCGATACGACAACATAACCTTCAAGAAAAGAGTATATTCCTTTTTAAAAGGCCGGCAGCACACCTGCAATGCCGCTGGTGTTGTGGGTGATCATGGGCGGCGGTAGTCATCACCAGGTGAGCCGCATGATCGTTTGCCCCCTGTGTTGTAAAAAAAAAAAAAAAAAAAAAACACACACATGAATGGGACAGAGGTACCCAAGCAAACGACTTTTGTATAAAGATTCCCTCTGGTTAGTTTGATTATGCTGGTTGGCCTGTATATGTAAAAATAACCTATAATATTCGTTGATTATGTTACATATTACATAGTCATGAAAAAAGTTAATAATCCGAATTGTGATGTTTGTAACACATTGGATGATGTTCAGCATACGATATCCGAATGTACGTAATACAAAACACAAAGGCAAGTATTGATACAATAATATAGTCTCAATAGACGGGAGACTGGTTTGTTTTCAAATATATACGCAGAGCCACACTCCGGAATGGCGAAATCTTTAATTACTATATTTTTGTATCGATAATTCCCTTTATCAAAATAGACTACTTAGATATTATGTATTATTTATTTATGTATCAATGTTTTAAGTGTGTGAGTTGTATTTTATAAAATTAGGGCACGATGAGGCCGATATATCCTTATAGGATAAAAGCTTCTAAATAAAAAGATAAAAATATATATATATATAAATAAATTACAGAGTCTTTACAGAACATTATAAATCAAATAATATCGCCTTAGAATCAAAGCTACTTAAACCATTTATATCGCGATTTAGGGGGTAATATATTCGAGTGATTTTAAATTGTAACATCGCCTGATAATGTAACATAGCCGGCATCTACTTAAGTGGTTATAGACTGTAACATCTAGAAATGTAATTAACTGTTAATATTACAGAAACAAGAATGTGCAGACGGCTCGGATGAGTCACCAGAACTGTGCAACAAGAGCGGAGTAGACGTTAAACCATTACCGTCCGATAATAATAATAATAACAGTAATAATACACCCAGGCCTAGGTGAGATTACATTTAGCTTTTTAAACTAGATTGATCAAAATATTTTGTTTAATTCCGCTACCATTAGTATGCGTGCGACTGGCAACACTCGAAGATTGATCACCACTAACCTTCCATATTAGCCATCGACCACCGACTGCCATTTTGTCCACGCACGTTTTACGACACGTGTTTCACCTATAAACGAGGAATCTTCAGGCAAAGTATTAGATCGCTGCTCGGAGATTAGTGTTAACTAGACGTAGGCTGCTTTTGCAGTTATGGGCACAGAATGGTCATAATAGAAGCCACCCATTCTTTTCCCGTGGGTGTCGTAAGAGACGACTAAGATAGGTCGAAGGATGGGCAGCTGCGTCCCTCTTAAAACATGTCTAAAGCCTGATTGCGGTTGCCAATGCTTCTGTTAAGCATGGCAAATACTGGCATATTCCGTCAAGGGGGAGGTTTATGCCCAACAGTGGACAATTAAAGACTGATACGATGATGATAATAAAAAAAAAACCTACGACTATCTAGCGATACAACCCAGAACATCCAGACTCGAGCAAATGGTGGAAAGTTCATTCCCCAAATTGGCTCAAAGAGAAATGCTACCTGGTCAAGGCGAAAGGCGGAAATTATGCGTACCTTCGATAGCTGCAACTCACGAGCGCTGCTACAGCGCCGGTGTGCCTAAGTTTTTTTTTTATTTTATTTTTTTATACTACTTAGATTGGCAAACAAGCTGACGGTCTACCTGATGGAAAGTGGTAACCGTCGCCTATAGACATGAGCAGTACCATGGACATAACAGAGTATACTGTTTCGCCCATGATACCCCTCATGCGTTGCCATTTCTGAGGACTCAGGTGTTATTCCTCTATACCCAGTAAATTTTTTTTTTTCTTTTTTTTTTTTTTCTTTCATTATTTTATTTTTATTATTATCATGCGATATCCTACCCTTCAAACCGAAACACAGCCATGCAAACACAACTGCTTCACGGTTGAAACACGAATGGGACAGAGGTACCCAAGCAATCGACTTTTGTACAAAGTCTCCCTCTGGTGAACTAATCTAAGTGGATGACCTAATCACTGCAGTACAGCTCCTCGTCTCCTTTGCTGTTTTGGGTGGCTTCGATGGGCAGAATATAGCACGGAATTGTCTTTAAGTTTGATTTGTCCAACACAAAACTGTATAATATATTTTTAATGCGATGCGCTCGCGCGACGGGTTCGCTCGGCAAGCGGGATTATTGCACTCTGCTCTGTGGCATTTTTGGTGCGTCACTTGCCCACAGAGCATAATAAAATAGATAAACCCAGGTACAATCGAAGCGGCGTAACCATTACCCATTGCCTCATTTTCGCCAAGAGACATGTCCAATACTGTAACATGGAATATGGGAACCTAATATTTAAATTTATAAAAATAATTCGACCTTAAATGTCTTTCCAGTACACCACAAGTAGGTAATTGTATCCTGCCGGAGTATCCCGAGAATGGCCAATGGGTGGCACCCAACGAGAGGTTCGCTAGTCCAGGCAAATCTTACAAGCAGATCTACCTGCAGTACTCCTGCAATATTGGTTATCAGCTCCAGGGAGCCGTGGATGTTACATGCATCGATGGACAATTCATACAAGAGATACCGAAGTGTGTCCGTGAGTATCATGATTGGCAATTTAATATTTACTAATATTGTAAACGTGAATGTGAGTTTGTTTGTTTGTAAATTACCTGTTGGCGTTTTAACTGCTTTACCAATTGTGCTGTCCTCCTCGTATGGTAGGTAGGTGTAGGAAATAATAAACAATAATATGTCACAATGCGACTCACACGACCACCCGCCCGGACGTCACCCAGAGGAGTGGCAGGAGCGGGGGGACTTGCAGTCTCAACTTTAATGAGTACATCACATCTCTCCCTTTTCAAAATATTTTAAAATTAATAATAGAATATGAATATTTTTACTCTAGGAAACTTAATTATTATTTTTTAAGCATTTTTGAATAGTCATATTTTTTATAAATCTACCGCCCATTCGGAATGCAATTTCAGCTAAGAAGAACGGGCAAGAAACTTAGCTGTTGCTTTTTTCAAACAAAGTTGAGTTTACAACAAAATGTGAAGGATACAATTACTCACAAATTTCATATAGATACAACTACAACAATATAGTTTTACATTACAGTCATAGGTAACTAAAATAATATCATGATATTACCATATATATTATGTTACAAAATATAACTTAGGCAACTAAATATAATAAGACTGGTTTGTATAAAAATAACTATATGACTATTTCCTCTCGAAGTCCATCGAGATCTTTCTTTTCATCATCCTTATAATTTCTTACTGATCTTCCACCTTCTTAAGTATATTATTGTGTATATTTCATCTCAATTTTTGTCTAGTCCCATAATTTCTTCTAGATACAGCGCCAATAAGTATATGTATACAGGGATTGAAGTATCGCATATATATTTTCTTTAATTATATTCCGAATACACTTTCTCCTATTTTCAATATCTATGTCACTATATCTTTCCCTTCCAATTTTAAAATGTTCTTTTATTGATTTGTCTCTGCCATTCTAAATAAATCTCATTATTCTTAGCATGTACAATAGAAGAGATTTTATCTCTAATGACAAATCAATAATGTGGCATGATATTGTAACTTATGAGGTATAGCAGGAGTTTATCCCTCCAGTCAGATTTTTAATTTTAATTTATTTGTACACGTATTATAATGTCACATTTTTGTATTCTACTTGCTTCGTTCTACTGCGGTCGATATGGTGTCGAATAGTATAGTTTAATACCAAATTCTAAGCAGTTATCCAATGTTGTGCTGAATAAAGTGTCAAGTCTTGTAAAATTTCTTTTATTTATGTACTTTTAAGAAGATTTATGGTCTTATACTAAGTATATCAGAATTCCAATTAATAATTCCTACAATACATATACTGACAATATTAGAGACGTTACTATTTATAATCTCAATATTTACATAAGTATGTCACATTTATTATAGTTTAGACATCGATTAATTTTAGGAATGTTACATAATATATTGTTTTAGATCAGATGTAATGTAGACAAAATTTTATTTCTTCATGAACATTGATTACAACATCTATTATATGTACCGAGACTGGTATCAATCCTTTGTACCTTGATACATAATCTACTGTTTATGGCAACAGTGCCGGGGTGCCAGAATAATTATCATGAGTCGTAGCGAATGCTCGTCTACGCTATCTCAAATGAAATAAAAATAGAAAACCATTAATAAAGGACTCAGAATTCGTATTTAAAGAGTTTGTAATGATTGACTTTAAGGTTCAGTTTTCCTGGGAGCATCTAACTACTAATTGCATGGCTTATAAAACTTAAGTGTCCACAATTTACTAACTCTTTTTGCTTTGAAATTACGAATTACTGTAAATGTTTGCTTTTCTTTCCAGAACTCTGAATACAGTATATTTAGCGAGCTTACGCCTTAACATTTTACGTATTTGTTCAGTCATTGTAGCCAAATTTTGAGTCCATTTTCTTTTATTGTGTACCAATAAACTGATAAAGATAGATAAGTGTGACTGTGTACAACTTGTAATTTAAGATATTGATAATATACAGTTATATACATATATCTAAAATATTTACGCATAAAATCTAAATATTATTATAACACATTATCATATTTATTTCTCAAAATAGGTTACTAGTTTTATAACTTTAAAATTTTTCAAAAAATTGGTTTTCTAAGTGATTCTATAGTCTTTAGGGACTTACAAGTAATACTTTCTGAGATTAGCTCATGCCCTAAAAATTCTACTTACGATTGATTAAACATGAACATAAATCCTTTATTAATACATTATTTGTAACCTACGTGTACAGATATGTAGGTATATTATTTTGCCTTACAAAGTTAAAATACGTTGAACACATTTTTAAACTTTCGCGTTGTGAATCGCGAATTTAAATAGATGTAGGACATGTTTTAGCCTTACATCATTTGTTCGAAATTAAAATATTAACAAACAAACAGTTAATCTTGTGTAAGATATTTAATACATGTTTAGGTGTCTTATTCATTTCCTTTATTTGGAATTATTTCCAATTATTACATTTAAAACATTCATGTGTATATTATAATATACCTATTAGTTGATGGTTTACATGTCTTGCTACAAAACCGTGACCAATATTTGTTTATATTTAAACTAAGGTAAGTCTCTGTTATTAAAAATAAAGATACTTAAAGTAATAAATTATATTTATATAATTTATAGATTTTGACACGTTAAGTTACAAGTATCATTGTTACACAAACTAAATAATATAATATTTAGTCACTGTAAACAGAGATTTGGTAAATACTGTTTAAATAAACAGAGTTTTAATTATTTATTGTAGTAGGATCGTAATCGAAACGAAATAACCACTTGCTTGTTATAAAAAACTTAAGTACATTCTAATCTCAATTTGATAAAAAGCATCTTTTAAGCCAGGTTTAGATAAAGATAAATTTATTTGCATAAACAAATCTCGTTGTGTGTGTGCAGTAAATACATATTAGGTATTTTAATTATGTAGTAATTGTAACATGTTTTTTACCAAGATTAGCATGCACATTTTTTGTTTAGGACTTTTCCCTTGACAGACAGATTCATATTCCTTTTTTCTATTCTTTAAAATAACTATGACTAGAGAAACTCAATTCGCAGCTTTGTCTACAAGTTCGATTATATTTTCTGTTTATTTGAGCTATACTATTTTATTTTACTAAACACTTGATTTTATGATCAATATCTAACTGATGTTCATTTAGATATTGAATTTGAATTTTGGATTTTTTTGTTTGTTTTGTGTTTAGTAAATTAATATGCAACTTAATTGTAATATATAATGAATCATAGCAGTCTCTTAGGTACACAATAAGCTGCGAGTACAATTTTTCTCTACTTCTTCCAGATCCAACCAAGACTGACATTTTAAATGGGCCCAGTACATCAGCGAGTCTTTAGGACTCGATATGTCCTAGAATTTTGTCAGATTTTTCTTGGTTAGTTTTTTTTTTTTAAGTAGTTTTAAGTAGTCCTAGGTTTTGTCGACTATTATTATTATTGTTACTTTTGTACCCGAATTGATGGGTATATAATATTATGTCAATTATTATGTTAGTTTTGTACCCGAATTAATGGGTATGTTAGTTTTGTACCCGAATTGATGGGTATGTTACTTTTGTACCCGAATTGATGGGTATGTTAGTTTTGTACTCGAATTGATGGGTATGTTAGTTTTGTACCCGAATTGATGGGTATGTTAGTTTTGTACCCGAATTGATGGGTATGTTACTTTTGTACCCGAATTGATGGGTATGTTAGTTTTGTACCCGAATTTATGGGTATGTTAGTTTTGTACCCGAATTGATGGGTATGTTAGTTTTGTACCCGAATTGATGGGTATGTTAGTTTTGTACCCGAATTTATGGGTATACTAGTTTTGTACCCAAATCAATGGGTATGTTTAATGTAACTCCATCACTTTGGCAAGATATATATTTTATAGTGGAATAGAGGATGGTTAACATTTAGTTCCACCATTTTGACAAGATATTTTATAATAAAATAGAGTTACACTTAGTTCCACAATTTTGGCAAGATATTTTATAATGGAATAGAGTATGGTTAACATTTAGTTCCACTATTTTGGCAAGATATTTTATAGTGGAATAGAGTATGTTCAACATTCAGTATGAATGTAGTTATAGGAGAGTTGAATGATTGTTTGGTAACTTTATTTATTTTTTACTTGATGGATTATTTGGTTTATACTATTTATTTCGCCATATAACTATCGCTTGCACATTCATGCACTTATTTCGATTAGTGCGATATTGCTTTTAACCTAAATGGCTTATAAATCCACACTTTTAGCAAAAGTTATTTCTTGCAACACATTGTGCATCATAACTATTTTGATATGTACTCTCACATTTCATACACCGTATATTCTTCACAGAAATCTCTTTACAAGATTTGGTTTCTTTAGTGTCCTTTTACTGATCTTTCATCAGTCTCTATTGAATTGCTTCCACAATATTTATTTCTATTTAAGTAGAATTATCTTTTAACTTAAGTTCTGAGGAACTGCATTTTTCTACGATTTGACAATTGAGATGTTATAATAAGACAATTTGCAAAACGGGAATTTTATGGTGGTATATTATTTATACGTATTTATATAAATACTGTCAACTAATGATAATCGACAAATAACCAATTATGTTACTATTATTAACAAATATATTAACCGTATATCGTAGTCGACAAATGCGTCTGACTACCCCGTCAAGGATTGAATCTAAATAAAATATTATAAGTTGTTATTATTATATTTTTTCAGAATTTTGTGTTTGTAAATGAATATACTAAAATGATTGTTCTAAAACAACCTGAAAAATAAGATGTTGCTGATGTCAACATTAATTATTTATACATATTTACAATTTAAAAAAGAATCTGTAATTCAGGAATAAAGGCTATTTTTATTTTATTTTTTATTAAATGATTATACCTACCTACCGTAATAATGTATGCTATTATAATTGTAGGCAACAATATTGTAAATGCGAATACTTGTACTTGTTGTACAGGTGGATAAATGGATTATTCTCAGTTACAAACACAGCCTTTTGAACTTATAAACCAACATAAATACGTAGGTAAATTTATGTGCCCCAACGGCGAAAGGGTAACCAATTCAGAATTAAGCAGAGAACTACCGGCAACGCTAATATTCTGCTGGTTCCTTGTAAGAAAAACAAAATCGTAACCTCAACTCTTACCAAATATCTGTCAAATAATGAAGTTAATGTGAAGTGTTTGAATATATCATAATTATCTTATGATAATTACATTTGTATTAGGTTTATACCTACATACAAATCTATTTATTATGGAAGCAACCTCTATAATCGGAACCACCAATTGCATAAACTTGTATCTAAATAGATTACAGTTTATGTGGAATTATGTATTTAATGGGCTTTGCTCATTCGGATTGTACGGTGTATTTTATTTGTCAAAATAATTACTCCGACTCGGCTAATACATGCAGGCACATTTTGTTGTATGTATAGTCAGTATTCGCTGGTATCCCCGAACTACTTATCTTAAGAATTCAACTGTTATAATCACTTATACTGTGATGTAAATATAAACAGAAAGTAAGCGGTACGGTATACCTAGACATCAACAAACGCCGACCATTTGTTTAGGCATGTATAGCAAGTTATTGTACGACTATGATGCGCAAACGCGTTAAAATCAGTCACAGTGTGTCGCTAAATTACAAAACGTACTATGCACCGTAATATGTATTATCAATATTTTGCTCTCTCTATACAATTTATAGAATCAAATCTTTATTTCTTTTTGAAATTGCTTTTAGTCTTTTCTATATTTAATAAATTGATTGAGAATTAATAAATTATCTTCTCTCTTCCTTGTGAATTTAGAAATTTAACAGTTTAATGTTATTCGTGTCAAGTTACATTAAAATAACAACGCAATAGTTACACTCTTTGGACTGATTAGAACAGGTAATTTTGTAGTCGTATGACATATATATATATATATATATTTTTTACTTACAAATTTTCACCTCGTCGCCAATTTTGTGCTGTCCTCCTCGTATGGTAGGTAGGTGTAGGAAATAATAAACAATAATATGTCACAATGCGACTCACACGACCACCCGCCCGGACGTCACCCAGAGGAGTGGCAGGAGCGGGGGAACTTGCAGTCTCAACTTTAATGAGTACATCACACCAATCACTACTAAATTCACTTACTCTATGGAATGGAGAAGAATATAGGTTTAGTTGAGTTTACCAGAGTGAGACTTTGTAAAAAAGTCGTTTGCTTGGTCACTTCAGTCCCAATTGTGTTTCTACTGTGAAGCAGTTGTGTTTGCATGGCTGCGTTTCAGTTTGAAGGGTGGGATATGGTAGTGAATTTACAGGGTACAGAGGAATGACACCTGAGTCCTCAGGAATGGTGACGCATGGGTGGTATCATGGACAAAACGGTATACTCTGTTATGTCCATGGTACTGCTCATGTCTATAGGCAACAGTTACCACTTTCCATCAGATGGGCCGTCAGATTGTTTGTCATTCTAAGTTGCATAAAAAAAAAATTCCCAATCAAAAAAAGTAGTAAATATAGTATATTATATATAACTATCTTCCTTCACGCCAAATCTTTTGCGGTATAGACAAAAAGAATCGAGTGCCAATCGTTACATACATTTTTGAGGCCACAATGATATAAATTTGAAATATATAAGTCTACAACGCTGTTAGAATGGTTAGCATCCTTTGAAAGGAATGTGGGTCGAAAAACGACAACCGACAAGCGTCTCATACTAAATTGATGCTTTCAGCTATTATTAGGATTATATTGGTATGGTATTTTCCAGGACTCTGCCATCTAAACCGGCACGCCAGCATCGACTATTACTGCTACTCGGCCAACGGTGTCGACGGCAGACGCCCTTGCAACGACTACGAACCGCAAGGCACCATCGCCAGGCCTCAGTGCAAGGTCAACTACTATTACTACTATGGTGGTGATCCACAACCCATGACGTGCAGCGCGGGAGGCTGGAGCGACTATCCCATATGCTCACCAGGTTTGACCAAAAATGGCACTAACATTACGATTATTATTAAGGACAAAGTGGAAGTGCATATAGGCAGCTTTCTGTATACGGCACCTAATGTTAATCAACCTGTTACGGGCAATTTTAATGATAAGATATTTTTTAATGATAATGTACGAAATAAACATACAGTAATTAATATAAATGATGCCAATAATAAATTTGGTGGAACTAATAAAAAAACAGGCAGTGTAAACAATGATAATGATAAATTAATCCCAGAGAAAGGTATTAACAAATATAACGTTGAAGAGTCCTATGTGGATGATGTAGATGAAACTTTCTGGAGGCTGGGAGTCGTTGGGGGTAATGTAAATGAAAATAAAATAGTTAAACCACAAGACAACAATGGTAGAGATACACACGTTCGAAATAAGATCTATTTTAAAGATCAATAAAAGACAATTATCAAGTGCACCATTAAACGCCAAGTGTACTAAATTTTGGGAGAATATCTTGAGAGATTAAAAAAATATAATTTGGTATTCTTATCAAATAATCTATAATCCAGTACACAGGTAGATTTAAACTAAAAGAATGATAGTTTGTATCCTGTAATAAGAAATAAATTCTCGATTTATCAAGTTGAAAAGTTGTTTAAACAAAGTTTTTTCATAAGCTTGCGTTTATTTGCATTATTTGGTTTAGTTTAGAATTTTAAATCTACGTTTTTTAACATCAAAATAAACATTTTCAGTGATAGATTAATATTTATAACCTAATTGCATTATTAATGTTTTATTTAACTATCAAACTATTATATGAATAAAATATAGAAAATTTAAAAATATTCATTTGTTTTTGAAAATTCGCAGATAATTTCTAAGTTGTCTCACTACTATAGGCTTCGGTATTAACGTTTTTAAACATTAATCACTTTACATTTCACCTAAGCGAACAGCGCTGTTCATTGTTCATCCTCCATTAATCATCAGTCATGAACCATCTAAATTCAGGTTTGGGTTGAACTCTGTGATTACTTTGCTAATAGATGCTAATTTATTTAACTCTTTACCTTATACATACAAATATACAATTACAAATAGGAAATAAAACAACACAAATAAAAAAAAAAATACAAATCAAACTATAGAAGTAGAAAATTTAATATTATTCTGTAAAATTTCGTATCACAGTTCGTAACACACTTATTTTCACTTTTGCTTCACTAAAATTTTCACTTCAACTAATTTTCATATTCTGTAAGCTGTGTACTATAGTATTAATAAATAAATATAAATAAATCACTTCTATAATTATTTATTGTAATTATTAATTTATTATATTATATATTATACAGAATATAAAAATTTGTTGAGGTGAAAATTTAAGTGAAGCGAAAGTGAAAATTAAGTGCGTTACGAACTGTGATACGAAATTTTACAGAACAATTTGTAAGTAAACTGTAAGCTTGGTAATAATAAATATAATAGAAAAATGACCGCATCAGTATTCCTTATATGTTCCAGTTTCTCTAGTAATAATTTTAATAGATAAATTAAAATAATTTAATAACTATGCTTCGACACTAAACTTTCTTTCAAAAAAAACGTTCGCGCTCACTTCTTTACTTTATCCGAGCAATAAGTACTTTATATTATTCTCAATTTCGTGTATAATATAGTATATGTCATATATGTGTAAATATATTTGTTATTTATATATATCTATTCGTTTATATATGTAATTTTAGTATGTATGTATATCAATAATTAGTAGTACCGCATTCGAGTATTCTGACACTTGCCTATGGTTGACTGGGAGAGAATGCTTTTAGCATTAAGTCCGCCATGTACACATATATGTACTAATGAATGAATAAATAAATAGACACTGTAACTGTAACCAGAGGGAGACATTGTACAAAAGTCGTTTGCTTGGCCACCTCTGTCCCAATTGTGTTTCTACCGTGAAGCAGTTGTGTTTGCATGGCTGTGTTTCGATTTGAAGGGTGGGATATGGCAGTGAATTTACAAAAATACAGAGGAATAACACCTGAGTCCTCAGGAATGGCAACACATGGGGGGTATCATGGGCGAAACAGTATACTCTGTTTTGTCCATGGTACTGCTCATGTGTATAGGCGACGGTTACCACTTTCCATCAGGTGGGCCGTCAGCTTGTTTGCCATTCTAAGTTGTATAAAACATATATATATATATATATATATATATATATATATATATTGTTGTTATATATTGCCCACCCTTAATGTATGTACAAAATAAATATTGTTAATTGGATGGATGATATTTTGTATTAATAATATTTTGCAGTTAATAAATTATTTCATTTTTATAATGATTATTTTATTTCGCACCTTGATCCTCCATCCTTTTAGCATATTAGAAGAGAGTAGAAGAAAACACTTGATTTGCTTTGAATAGATAATACAGAGCTCTCATTTCATAAATAGACAATTCCATATTCAGCTGATATTACACATGCAAATTGTATGAATGAATTTGTAAAGTCGTTTGCTTGGACACCTCTGTCCCATTCGTGTTTCAACCGTGAAGCAGTTGTGTTTGCAGTTAATTACAGGATACAGAGGAATAACATTTGAGTCCTCAGGAATGGCAACGCATGGGAAGTGTTATGGGTGAAACAGTATACTCTGTTATGTCCATGGTACTGCTCATGTCTATAGGCGACGGTTACCACTTTCCATCAGGTGGGCCGTCAGCTTGTTTACCATTCCAAGTTGCATATTTTTTTTTAAGTTACTAATTAATTTTACAATAAATTAATTAATTTACAATAATCAAATTCGTAATAATATATAGTAATATATAATATATTGGAATTAATTACATTATGTACATCAATAAAATCATTTTAGAATGTAGAAACATTTCGTTTTAAAACGGGCGAAAGGTACTTCTCTTATATTTTTGGGAATTTTATTATACACTTTTTATCAAGATAAAATGACAAATCATATTTAAATATAGTAAAAAAGATATCTGTATGTATGCTAATACAGAAAAAAGAAAGGTTTGTTTGTTTGTAATAAATAAACTCATGAACTACTCGACCGTTTATAATAATACTTGCACCAATAGAAAGCTACATTACCAGCGAGTTACATAGGTTATATATTATTTTTGAAAATTCTATCTACCCGGGCGAAGCCGGGCCGGATTACTTGTATAATATAATCTACGTATATATATAAATAAGTAATACTTATATATATATATATATATATATATATACCATATATAAATAAGACTGATTAGTACCTAATAGTCGCCGAAATAAACGTTTAGTTTAGACCCAATAATAGTGCCCTGTGAGACGTCTCTGAGAAATACATGTGTTACCAATGTAAGTGAAGCATTTGAAAAGTTATATATTAAAAAAAGAAACAAAAAATAAATTATATGGTGTAATTAATAATGTTGCAAGCAGCAAAACATTCGTCAGAGGGAGACTTTGTACAAAAGTCGATTGCTTGAGTACCTCTGTCCCATTCGTGTTTTAATCGTAAAGCAGTTGTGTTTGTATGTGTTTCGGTTTGAAAGGTGGGATATGGCGTGAATTTACTGTATGCGGAGGAATAACACCCGAGTCCTCAGGAATGGCAACGCATGGGGGGTATCATGGGCGAAACAGTATACTCTGTCCATGGTACTGCTCATGTCCATAGGCGACGGTTACCACTTTACATCAGGTGGGCTGTCAGCTTGTTTGCCATTCTAAGTTGTATAAAACATATATATATATATATATTTCTTTAGAACTTCTTATTATAAATTTTTTAATTATCAACCGACTTTTAAAGTCGAAAAGAAATTATAATTAATTTTAAGACGGACACTGCTGCCCGTCCCTCGTCCATTATCTCCTCTCAGTCGCCTCTTACGACACTTACGGGAAAAGAAGAGTGGCCCATTCTATGCCGGGGCCACACGGCATGCATATGGTAAATTGACCATACACGGGAGATATTTCAGAAAAATTTAAGAAGCAAAAACAATAATTTTTAGAAATATTGTCTATCTATATGTTTTTTTTAATACCACTGAGGTGGCAAACAAGCATACGGCCCACCTGATGGTAAGCGGTTACCGTAGCCTATGAACACCTGCAATACCAGAGGTATTACGCGCGCGTTGCCGACCCATGTTTATTTTGGTATCACGCAAAACCTACTTCGTCAAATTGGATGCAGTTTTCACAGTTGTGTTTCGAAGATCTAACCTTAGTGTGGTGTGTGTTTTATCTTGATTCGCTATCTATAATTGGTGTAAGACAGTGTGGCGTCTGTAAATAAATATTGTAAATATTCATCTCACAGCTACTTGTCAACATCATTACTTTCTTTTCCATCAAGTAGGTTAATTTAATTGTACATAGATATTTCACCTCTTTCTATCTATCGCACTGGACGTACAGACATGACGGCCACGTTTACTTCTCACATTCATTTCTGTTGTCATTCTATCATTATATGTGAATCAGTAATATAATCAAGTTAGTTGTTATTTATTTCCTCCAAACAACTACAACAGAATCAGCATTGTAACGACGTTAGTCCAAATCTAGAACAATATCCGTACTTATTATCTTAAAACAAATCATTATTGCCAAAAATAATCATCAAAATCGGTGCAGATTTTTTATTATATCAAGACGTCATGCAACCGGTTAAACGTGTTAGTATCACGTCTATACTTCATCATTATCAGCATACCAGCCCTTAATTGCCCACTGCTAAACATAGTCCTCCCCTATAAATAGTTGCATACCGTGCTGTACAGTTGTGGAATAAACTTCCAGTGAGTATTCAGAATAGCCCGTCTAGCAGTTCCTTCAAGAAAAGATTAAAATCATTCTATCTTTCCAATTTTGTTTAAATATAAAAAATGATTAGAAGACTGTCATCATTGTGCACTCTTTATTTGATGTTTATATGTTGTATTTAACGTGTGTATATGCGTGTGTATGTGTGTGTGTGCATGTGT